AAATACAGGAAAGAAGTGGGAAGAGAGCTGTTCCATTGTGAGGATTACAATCAGTGTCACAAAAGTAAATGTGTATGAATTGTTGAATGGAAACCCAATTTGCTCTGTACACGTTCACCGAGATAATTTTTTAAAAAAGTTTTCTACACATAAAGAACATTTTGGGAACAATCTTACTTTGCCTCTGAATTAACTGAGCACAAAGGATTTTACTAAGCCTCGACCAGGACGGCTGGGGAGAAGAGCACAGCCTGGAGGCCAGGTGTGGTGCTGGTCGCCGTGTGGGCTGCTGTGCAACTGCAGAGGCCTGAGCAAACCAGAGCGTCGGGAGCCAAGAGTAACCCACACAGTGCCAGCTGTGCGTGGCGCCTTCCTGCCATGGGAGCGCCACCTTTTATTTACAGCAAAACCTGCTCTCCGCGTTTCAGGCTTATGTTGCCATTCCTCCAGGTGATTTGCCTCCTCCTTCAGAGTGTTCTTATTTTTCAGCTAGATAAAGGCATTTAGGAATGTTTAACGCTAAGCACTGCTTTCAATTACACTTCCTCCGTGTGCTCCTCAGTCTTCGCTGAGACTAATTGGGTTATTCGTTCCCTCAGCTCCAATGGTTTTATTATTTAAGTTGATAATTAGTAACTACTCCAAAGATTTCAGTTGCTTTCTGTAATAGCAGGATCAACATTATCGAAGTAAATCTCAATTTGAACTTACAACCTTTCAGCTGATGGGAGCCCATCAGTGCTGTTGAGCCAGTTACAACACCCACAGGAAAGGTAACCTGGGCGTTGGTTTGTCCCCACTGGCTGGTGACATGGAGCTTTTGCTCTGGGAAACCTGAGGGAATGGGCGTCCAAGCCAGGTGGATCGCTTCATCCACCCCATTCACTCGCTTCTTTCTTCTTAAATGCTTTTGCCCTGTCGTCTTTTCCTTTACTTATCTTCTTCTTCTTCTTCTTCTTTTTTATCATTTAGATCTCAAAGGAAGGCGCTGCATGGATCTCTGTTTAGTGATGAAAGGATTTTTGAGCCACTTGACAGGGGACTTTGTTTCCTTTCTCAATGGGACCGGTGCAGCTGCTGCATTTCATTTTGTTTTATGCCTTTTCATCCGTGTATCAGGTGGGTTGCTATGATGCCGTAATGGATTCCTGCTAATTTTGTACTCTTTGCCCTCAGTCATGTAGCCTGTGGTGTTAAATCCTGTCCTTAGGATTATGTCTCTATTCTTCTGGTGATTCTGAGTAGAAAGAATCCTTCATCAGCACTGTGTGCTTTTCCCAATCATAACGCCGGCTCTATTGTGTCAGGAGGTAATAAACAAGTAGATAAAGGGCTTTGGGGTTGACTGCTTCAATTACCAAAACCTCAAAGGAAAATATTCCAGAAAAGATGCGTGATGATCCTGCATTTGCTATGAAAATCTTTTGATGGCATCAATATAATCAAATTCAAGAATGAGCTCTGATTTCTGTCAACAGCTTTACCCTGTGAAGGGCTTTGTGTTTGAGGGGGTTGTTAGTTGTTACTGGGTAGCTTCGACCCGTGGTGACCCCATGCACAACGGGACAAAACATGGCCGGCCCCGTGCCATCCCTGTGATCCTTTGATGTGTTTGAGTCCATTGTTGTAGCCATGTGTATTTTGAGTGCTTTCCAACCTAGAGGGCTCAGCATCTACCACCATATTGGACACGATTCTGTTTGGAACCATAGGGTTTCTGTTGGCTGCTTTTTGGAAGTAGATTTCCAGGCCTTTCTTGCTAGTCTGCTGTAATCTGGAAGGTCCACTGAACCCTGTCCACTGTGGGTGATCCTGCTGGTGTTTGAAATACTGCTGGCGTTCCTTCCACCATCACAGCAACGAGCAAGCCGCCGCAGTCCAACAAACGGACAGATGGGTGGTAATATATTTGAGAAGTTTCTATTAAGTGGAAGAAGTGACCTTGTCATATCCTAGTTCTGTACTTAATTGACTTCCACTCTGCCTGTGTTAATAGCAAATCAGTCATAAGTTGAAACAACGTTACATGTTCAGTTTTCTCTGAATTTTGAGGTAGTGAGTGCAGGCATACCTTGGATATTGCAGTTGGTTCCACGCCACTACAGTAAAGTGAAAATCACAATAAAGCAAGTCCCACGCATTTTCTGGCTTCCCAGTGCATATAAAAGTTATGTTTACAGTATCCTGTAGTCAGTGTGCAATAGCATTATGAAAAAGTTTGGAACATTGTGAGAATTACCAAAATGGGACACAGAACTGAGCACAAGCTGCTGGAAAAATGGCACCAATAGACTTGCTTGCTGTAGTATTGCTACAGACTCAAGAGGTAAAAATGGCAGTATCTGTGAAGCACAATAGAGTGGAGCGTGATAAAGCAAGGTCTGTCTGTATAGCGGTTAGAAGCATTGGAGTTTGGAGTCATACAAATTGAGGTTCAAGTCTAGACTGTGCCATTTACTGCCTCTATGACCTTGAGCTGTTTGAGCTACCATTTTTACCTCTGTATAGAGTGGGGATCATAATGGTACCCAGCCCCATATGCTTTATTGAGGATTAAATGAAGTAGTGCACTTAGTAAAGTGACTGGAGCATCATTACCACTTCATGTGAGCTCCTAAATGTTAGTTCCCTTAGTATGGTTTCTTGAGTTCATACCTTGAAAACTATAGTTACAGATGGAGTGAATATGCATAAGCTTTGAAAGTGTATATTTTTGAGAGACAATTATGATACATGAATATTGCATTTTCTAGTTTCACCTGGTTCCGAAGGGAAACTTTGGAACAATGAGAATAAAAAAAGTTACTTACCCAATTCACAGTTCTTTCCTTCAAATCCAAGTTGACACCAACATTCATAGGAATTGATGTCATCTTTGCACATGCCGCCATTTAAACATGGGTTGGACTCACACTGGTCTCCATCTTTGAGACAGGTAAAGAGTTTGGATTAGTAGATAAATGGCTTAGAATGCCCAGATCTCCCTGCACTGACCCGTGGGGAGGAGAACCTGATTGATTACAGGGTCAGAGCAGAACTGCTGAACTGGAAGTCATGCCTACAGGCATGTGATGCCCCTGTCTTCATGAGTTTTGAAAGCGAAGGTTCTTAGGCTAGCGCTACCCTAGGAAATTGCCCCAGGGAAGGCTTGCCCATAGTCTATGCAACCCAAGGGACAAGGGAGAGGAAGAAGACTGTCTGGATATAGAAATGCCCATTATCAACGTAGGGTAAGAAGGATTTCCAGTCCTCCCATATGAAATGATGGAGGAATTAATTCTAAATCAAATAATTTCAAAAACTGCTATCTATGTGCCAAACAAAACCTGCGTTGTCACAGGTCCTGCAGAGTAACTGATGTGGAGAACACATGCTGTATCCTCTCAAGGAACTTGTCACCTAATTGCAGAGCAAAAACATCTAATTCTTTGTATTGTCATTTACCTTGTTTAGTATGCAGTAATGGTTGAAGACAATGGGAAAGATGCCAGAAGCATTTATTACCGTACCACTTACAGGTAGTCTACTCTGTAGGAGTTAGGTCGCAATGGTGTAAGTAAAGTGAGGAACAACTTTCAATACATCATAAATGACTGAAAAAAAAAATGAAACTCTACATCTGTTTTCTTGATATATACATTGTCCATGTCTCCATTCTCCCTTTCCAGGGTTCTTGGAAGCCTTTGAAGACACTGGGGGTAAGAAAACAGGAGGAAGGAATAGGTGACAGGAAGGCTCAGGATGAGATGGGAACCTTGTGTCTGGTTTCTTAGCACTTTGCATCCATACATACTTCTAAGGAAGCTTCTAGAGAAAAGGATGAATAGAACCAGAAAGGACACTGAGCTGGAAAAATAGTAGCCCTGAATAAATAAAAAATGGGAGCTAGGTCAGTAAGACTCAATACATGAAAAACCAAAGAAGAGGGAAAATGGCAAGAAGAATGAAAGGTTGAGAGAGAAAGGGAGTCAAAGAGAAATTCCCACTTGTTAGTCAATCTCTGGAGCAAAACCACCCAACATCCGGTGTGTGTCATCCCTGCTCACTTGCCTCCTCCCTGTTGGAAGGCTTCATCTAGGTTGCGTAGACTAAGGGACTAATATCCCTTTCTCAGAAGCAGTTCCTCTCTGGAGAATCTGCTTGCTGTAAAAATGAGACCTTGTCCCCTCTGCCCCTTGAACCAATGTGCTTTTGCACAAATACTGCAATTTGTTCCAATTCTATGAAAACAAAATACGTTATCTCGGGTTTATTATTATTGATGTTCAGAACAGGTCTAAAAAATGAGCTACATTTGCACTTTATATTATAGACCAACGAGTCTGAATTATTTAGGATGTTTCACTGAAAGGGTCTGGGCTTGCCGCCAGCTACACAGCAACTCATTTGCTGAGACAGATCTTTAAAATGAGTGTCATTTTATTGTGCATTTAGTTCTTCCTTTGAGTGCTCGTCTGTGTGTACTTTGGGGCAGGCAAAGCCATAGCCAGGAAGGGTCAAAGACAGAAAGGGACAAGACCTGGCCAAGTGAGACCTTCCTGTTTAAGGTGACTAGGTTGCTATTTAATGAATAACTGCATCTACATCTGAAGACCATAAGGGATAACAGTGAAAGCAAGGGGTTGGAAATGAGAGGACTTGGGTTTGCTTCTCGGTTCCATGACTTTCCAGCTGGATGGCCTTTGGCCAGTCCTTTAACTTCCTCAAGCCTCAGTTTCCTCCTCTGTGAAGCTGACTTAATAATGCTTTGCTCACAGGGTTTGTGTGAAGGTGAAGTGGAACAGGCACTTTGTAAAGTGCTGGATAGTTGGCTAGTTAATGTGTTTGGGTAACGATTCTTCCTCAACCAGGCTCTTTCTGGGGCAGGTTGATAGTAGACAAGAGGGTAGCAGTTAGTCACTCTGGGCCCCTCTTGTATGGGAAAGCCATGTGGGGAGAAATGGCATGCTACTTTTGTCGTGGTTAGGAATCTCTGCTGCAAGTGAAAAGAAGCTTGGAGTTCCTTTTTATTTTCCTTTTTTGTTTTTTTGATAGAAAAAGCGGCGATGACTGAATCATGCCCTTGATGTTTCCCCAGTATCTATACTGGAGGTAAGAGCTCTGGTGGTGTAGTGCCTAAGGCACTTGACTGCTATCCAGAAGGCTGGCGGTTCAAACCCACTAGCCACTCCTCGGAAGGAAGGTTGGGCAATCTACTTCCGTAGTGATACTGCCTTGGAAACCCAAGAAGGGGTTGCTGTGAGTCGGTCAGACTCAACGGCACATCACAATAACATACTGGACATACAGCACACAGCACAGCCCATGTGACCTAGGGGGCAGGGCCCAGGTGCAAGATCTGGTGCTTAGAAGGCCACCCGCCCTTGAGGGAGGCAATGAAGGATCATGGGTGTTTAAATGCAGCCAGGAAAATTCTTCTTGGAAAGTGGAAATTGATTTGCTTTTTTAAAAGGAATCCCAAGATTGGGAGTTTTAAATTCAGCAGGAGCAGAGAAGAAAAGACGTGTGTGGATGACTTGCCGAGGACATGTCAATAGAGCATTGTCCCGGCAGAGTCCGTTACTAAGAACAGGAAAAGGTAGGTCAAGCAGTCGAGTGGACTGGGCCTCTTCCTCATGATTTCTAAACCTAAGTTTGTTGAGTTCTGAGGATATGACAGCATCTAATAGTGTCTCCAGAACAGGAACTGTGTGCAAGAGAACTGGATCTCAAAAACAGGGATCCGTGAATTCAATTCTGGTTAATTGTTCCTGTCCATGCACAGTCTTATACCCCCTCAGTGTCTGCTGTTGGCTTTTAAATTAGTTCTAAAATTTATCCAGTAACCAGTTGGTTTGGATGTGACTCAGACTCTTGGCAACCCCACGGATGTCAGAGTAGAACTGTCCTCCGTGGGGCTGTCAGTGTCTGTGATCTTTTGGGAATAGATCGCCAGGCCTTCCTTCCCAGATTGCTCCGGGTAGAGTTGAACCTCAACCTTTTGCTTAGCAGCTGGGTACAGTAACCCTTCGTACCACCCAGGGACTCCATTGTAAAATAAGTTGCCATTAAAATTTTGAATTTTCCTCCTTTTGGTCAGTCCGTTCAATCCAAAGTCATGGAGTACCTCTGTACCAGATATTGTTGTAGGTGCTAGAAATAGATCAAAAAATAAAGCAATTGAATTTCCCTGCCCACATAAAGCTTGCAGTCTAGTGGAATGAGACATAATAAATAATAAATGATAAATATTATAGAACAAGTATAGGAAATCTTAGATGGTGACAAGTGCTATGGAAAACGAGCAGGATAGAGGTGTCTAGTGTGGTGGGGGCAGGTAAAGGTACCAAATAAAATGATCAAAGTGGGTCTCCCTGAGGTGGTGACATTTGGGAGGAAACCTGGAGGAGGTGAGGGAGTGAGCCAAGAGATACCTGGGAGAATAGCGTTCTAGGTTGAAAGAACAGGCCTGAAAAGGGACTCTTAAGGGGGAGTGATGCTAGAGTTCTCATGGGGCAGCAGGGGTGCCACGGGGCCAGAGCTCAGCACGTGAGGAGGAGAGCAGTAGGAGAGCTCAGAGGGGCACAAGAAGGGAGGCAAGAGGCAGTCACGGAGGCCACCCTAAGAAGGACTGTTGAGCATGTTCTGATTCTCTACTAAGATTGCAACTCTAATCTAGTCTCAAGATACAGTCATTTCAGTTTCCTCCTCCCAGCTTCCTGGGCTAGAGTGATGTTCTTTTGCAGCCCTTGGAAGGAATACACTTATCCACCAGCTGATGTCTCCCACACTGGCATAAACATGTAGGACCCCAGCATTCAATCTTGGGAAAGAGTTGAACTCATTTTTCTGAGTCTTTTTGACAGTTTCGTCTATTATCTATTTGCAGAGAAAAACAAAACAAAACAAAACATGATTCCAGACGTTTCAGATACTTGCAAGGGGCTGAAATAAATTACTTACCAACATACTGCTTCCAAAATTCCGTCTATAAAGAAAAAGGAAAAAGGGGACAAATTAACAGTAGTATCCTAAGTATTTTTTTTGGGGGGGGTCTCTTCTTTTATTACATTTATAATGCTCATATATGTATTGATACTTTAAAATTCCGAAGGGAAATTTCTTTTGGTGTTTCTTTTTAAAGGATTTTTGTTCTTTGCTCGACATCTGAGGAATGTGATATGGAACTACTCACAGTTTTTTCTGTGTTTTCAAAAACTTCTCTTGCTTCTTCAAAACTACACTTTTCTTCTATACATTCTCTCTCCAGACTCCCTTGAACAAACTCTTCCAATTTACCGGAATTGTATCTCTTTGGCCGGTTCAGAATTTTGGTGGCATTTTCATGATCAAGAAAAACTGAAATTAAAAAGAACCATTCTTTAGCTTTAGAAAAAAGAAAACATCATGAAAATTAAATACATCTCTTATGAAAGGCTTTGTTTTAATCCAAGTAATCCCAAAGCCAATTTCCCTGTGGGCATGGTGCCCAAAGCGCCAGTGTTCCCAGGGCACTGTGTACACATGGAGATTTAGGAATTAAATTTCAATTTTATTTTCTGTCAGGAGAGCGCTAGTAACGAAAGGTCAGATTTCCAGTCGTATTTGAATTGACTTTGGATGAATAAGAAAGTTCTCAAAGAAGCAGTTAACTTCACACTTTGTCATCATTTGAAAAGAGCAGCTCCTCGCAAGGGGCTCTATCAGCTTGGCTGGGCTGTGGGCAGGATGCTGTTGTCCAAATCACTCGGTAATGCATCCTCATGGAAGAACAGAGGCCTAACTGTGGTCCAGCTGCAAATCTGAACTCAGTGTCTCTCAGTAGCTGGTCAAGAAAAACCACTGAGTTGCTTTCTTCTCTTCAGACTCACTAGACCTTCCGTTGGCATGTGTTATAGCAATTCCAGTAACGTAAGCGTCCCCCTGGGATTCTGGGTGGTGCTCATTTAGTTATGATTGCCTGGCCTCTAGAGGTACTGCTGGACTCTGGAGCATTGAGTCTCCACCCTTCATATCCTCTCTTTCCATATATATGGTCATATTCATGGCTTGTAAAGTGGTGTATGTGTGTGTGTAGTTACTACCAGGAATTTAAGAAGCCACCTGAAGTTTCTCCTTTCCTCAAAAGACGAGCAGTGTAACAATTCGGTGAAGGAGGGTAAGAATTGTTAGCACAACTCACAGAATGTCATCGCTGTCACTGAATGTGGAAATTGCTGAATTGGTGTGTGTTCTGCTGCGTATATTCTCAAGAGCAACAACAACAACAAAACAATTTTGAAAACACAGATTAACAGAAGAAAAGAAAAAGACTACCATAGTATCTGACACCATCTAACAGGACTGTGTGCTTTGAGGATGAACTTCCCAGGGCATTTTGGGACTGTCTTCCCATTAACTCCCCAAACAAGAAAATCCAACTCTAGTCCTTGATTTTCAATGGAGCTTTCTAGTCCCTTGACAACCTCACCTTTTTTTTAAAATAATAATAATAATTTATTTTTTTCAACCTCACTTTCTCTTCCTCTGCAAATCCCCTCTGGGCTTTACTTTTTCTCTGAATTTGCCCTAGATTCCCTTCAGTTATTCACTCGCCAACTTCCTCAGTTCCCTTAACCCCTTTCTTCAGTGCTGCACCTACCCTGCAATCCCAACCCTAGAGCAGCCGAGCCATCTGCCTTCTCTCTTCCCTTCTGAGGCAGCTGAGCACTGTGGGAGAAAATCACCAAGCTGCAGATGGACACCATCACACATCACTGCCTCCCAGCCTCCACCAGGCACTCCTCTCTGTTCAACCCAGGTTCGTGGCTCTGGGCTGTCTGACAGTGCTAGCTGTGTCTTCCTTTTACAGCATGGTCAGGTGTGAAAAGGTCCCTAGGTGGCACAAATGGTTTTGCGCTTAGTGGTTGGCGCTTTGAACCTACCGGGCAGAGCAAAGGAAGAAAGGCCTGGGGAGCTGCTTCCATCAAGATTAGAACTGAGAACCACTATGGGGCAGCTGTGCTCTAGAACGTGGGCCCACCGCGAGGGGCAGCAAGTTTAGAGTGACCAAAAAACAAACAAACAAACAAAACAAAATGTGGGTTCGAACCACATCTCTGCTGCTGATTGGCTATGGGACCTTGAGCAAGTCACGTATTCTCTGAACTGTAATTTTTTCAAATGTAAAATGGGTGTAACAGTAGTATAGTAAGAACATCTACCTCAGGGGCTGCTGGCAGGTCAGCGAGGATAGGTGTGGGCTGGGGGACGCTGACTACCTCTTCTCTCCCTATCACTCTCGTGCCGGCTGGCCTGTCTTCTTCATAACTTCCCCAATTCCCTTGAGCTCGTCAATGCACTGTTGTCTAGCTCTTTCCCTTCCTGAGAAAAACCAGACGTCCAGTTGCCTCTGACTCATGACAGTCCCACACATGTCAGAGTAGAGCTGTGCTCCGTAGGGTTTACAATGGCTGATATTTCATAAATAGATTACCAGGCCTTTCTTCCAAGGCACTGATAGGTGGACTCAAACCCCCGACCTTTCCATTAGCAGTTGTTGTTGTTATGTGCTGTCGAGTCGGCCCCAACTCATAGCGACCCCTCCTTGGGTTTCCAAGGCAGTATCACTATGGAAGTAGGATTGCCCAACCTTCCTTCCCAGGAGTGGCTGGTGGGAATGCATTAACCCAAGGACTGCAGGCACTGTACTAAAAAAAAAAAACCCAAACCCACCCCACTGCCATCGATTGATTCCAACTTACAGTGATCCTATAGGATAGAGTAGAACTGCCCTGTAGGGTTTCAAAGGCTATAAATATTGACAGTAGCAGACTGCCTCATCTTTCTCCGTACAGCAACTGCTGGGTTCTAACTGCCAAACTTTTGGTTAGCAGCCAAATGCACCACCAGGACTCCTAGATACTATACGAGGTGCCACAATACCCGTGATCACTCTGGGTGTTCACACACTCGTGGCCGTGACTACCACGCATGTAGCAGCAAGCCCCCGCTAGCCATCTCCTGTCAAATACAGCTTCTGAATTCCAGATCCTCTCTCCAGCCCCTTAGCTGTAGCCTGTAACATGGCTGGTGATGGCTGATGTTCATTTCATGCGTCTGAAGGGGTGGACACTGTGCTCAGTGCTGTGGCTCCGTTATCTCATTTCATCCTCATAACAGTCCCACGAGACAGGCGCTTTCATCTCATTTTTGTAAATGAGGAAAACTAAGTTTCAGAGAGGTTAAGTACTTTGCCCAAAGTAACATACTAGCCTCGGAGCCAGGATTTAGACTCAGGCAGTCAGTCTGCAGAGCCAGTGCTCGTGGCCACTGTGCTGTGTCCCAGAATCATAACATCAAATTCAAAATGCCCAAGACATACTCTGCGTACTTCCCCTAAACTTGTTCCCCTTCCGTACCCACATGGTTAGTAAGTCTTGTCATTTCTACCTCCTTAAGCTCACTTGTAGGGGCCAGTGGTGGGTCGGTGGTGGAATTCTCCCCTTCCATGGAGGAGACCAGGGTTTGATCCCCAGCCAGAGCACCTGCTGGTGCAGCTCCCACTTGTCTGTCAGTGGAGGCTTGCGTGTCGCTCTGATGTTGAGCAGGTTTCAGTAGAGCTTCCTAGGCAGGCTGGGAACAAAGGCGTGGCCCTCCACTCTCCACGATCAGCCAATATGAGTGTTGACATCAGGTAGATGCACTCCTTGGAGAGATCCATCATGGGCCAACAGAAGGGCAGTGTCTGCACAGGGCCAGGAGTGCATGGAGGGACAGGCACAGGGAAGCTAACTATGGGGAGGAAGTGGGTGGGGAGCTGTTGCATTGTGGGAAACTGTAGCAGTGTCATGAGACGAAGTGTATGTGAACTGCTGCATGGAGAGTGAACTTGCTCTGTAAACTCACCCAAATCGCAATAAAAATTAAAACAACAACAACAAAAAGCTGCCCATGAAAACCCTATGGCAGCAGCCTCCAGACTGCTCTCCCCTGGTCCCGCACCGCTTGCTATCAGTTCAGGTGCGTATGGCCACACTGAGTGTCCTCTAGCAGCTCTCAGGGGCAGTCCCGGTTTTTACATTTCTGATGACTCCATGTTGTGTTCTGTTGTCCAAACTCTTCAGTTCAGGGCTTTCATGACCCCGTCTAGTCATCCTGCCTCATTTCTCATCTTCGCCAATCAGGTTTCCTGCTGAACTACTTGGACACTCTGAAATACCTCACATTCTTTGTGGATTGGGACCTTTGCACATGATGATTTTCTGTGTAGAATCAGAAATGTAAGGAGAGTGAACTTCTACTCAAGGTCCCTTGGTAGGGCAGACGGTTTGAGCTTGGTTATTAACTGAAGGGTAGGCAGGTTGAATCTACCCAATGGCGCCACAGAAGAAAGGCCTGGTGACCTACTTATGTGGGATTACAGCCAGCGACCACCCTGTGGAGCACATAGTCCTCTGACACACACAGGGTCTCCAGGAATCAGAACTCACTCCACAGCAACTAATTTGTTTTCTGTTTGTTTGTTTGAATTCCTATGCATCCTTTAAGACCCAGCATCAAATGTCATCAGTCATGTCTTCCCATTTAAAGTGCTCCTTTATCCACGTTCTCTTAGCACCTGGGACATACCTTATCACAAACCAAACCAAAACCAAGCTCACTACCATTGAGTCAAACCCGACTCATAGCGACCCCTCCTTGGGTTTCCAAGGAGGTATCACTATGGAGGTAGATTGCCCAGTCTTCCTTCCGAGGAGTGGTTGGTGGGTTTGAACCGCCAGCCTTCTGGTTAGCAGCCAAATGCCTTAGGCACTATGCTACCAGAGCTCATTGTTCTAAAATCTCTCACCTTGACCTCATGGTGCTTTAGGTCAAAGGCAGAGCCTGGTTTATCCCCAGTAATGTTCAAATGCAAGACTGCGTCAGGCCATGCACTTTATAAAACGGAATTGGTTCTGTTTTGATTCAGTTTCAAATTGCTGCAGTAACGCCCAGAGGCAACAGCCACAGAAATGCAACATTTCAGTGTGTCCCACACAGAGACTCATTTTGGGAGCCATCGACAGTTTACAAGCAGAAGAGAGGGGAGCATCAGTCCTGTCCACCCTTTGGGGAGTCCCCTGGCCCGCCCCTCTTGTCGCCTTCATTGTTAGTTGCTGCCAAGCCGCTCCTGGTGACCCCGTGTGTGCAGGGTAGAATTGCTCCATAGGGTTTCAAGGCTGGGACCTTTGGGAAGCAGATTGCCAGGCCTGTCCTCCATCTGGGTGGGTTTGAACTGCCAGCCTTTCAGTTAGTAATCCAGTGCTCAATCACTGGCACCCCCAGGGACTCCTCAGAGGCCTGTTATCTTTGACCTCAGTGGCTCCAGATTCCCAGTCTTTCTTCTCAGTGTCGGGGGTCATACATTTAACCAGCTAAGGAACATATTTCAAGTTGATCTCTAGTCACAATTTCCCAAGCTCTGAAGCCCTAGTCCCTCTTCCGTGCCCTAAACCCTATCCTTTTCAAACATCTGAGGTCTCCCAGCTTCTGAGGTTTGCAGCGGCCCTCTTAGAGCCTCCCTCAACTCCCCACTTCTCTTGCGGCCTTTGGACTCCCAGATCTGGCTAGTGACCTGGCTTTATTTCCTGCTTTGTGTGATTTCCAGCCAGTTTTATTTATCCCTTGACTCTACTCACTTTGCTAGTTTGACTGAACCTTTGCATTCTCACATCATTACTTCTCCCTTTCAGTTGGATTCCGTATCTGACATCATGTCTGGAGTGGGAATCACAGTGCCAGTCTGCTTTCTGGGGACTCTTGGGGTTGGCACCCCTGATCCTGGCATTGTCATCTCATAGACTGGATTTTAGTAGGTTGACACATAAGTGTGATAAATGCTTCCTGCAAGAACATGCTGTTTGTCCAAATGCAAGACTGTCTTATGGCTTCCTCTGGGGAGTGCAGAAGGGTACTGAAGTTAGAAAACAAAGAATACACGTGGCTTTGTAAGTTTCTACTCTTTACAGCAAGTCTTATATTTGCTTGGCTTCCCTGGGGAGCTCAGCTGTGTACTAAGTTTCCCTGGATACCAGCTCTGACATGTTTGGAATCAGAGACAAAATGATTTCTTCCTAATCTGTGAGAAAATTTGGTGATCAATACCAACTTCTTGATGAAAAGTTTAATGTCTCTGTTTTAACAAAAACTTTAAATTGAAGATAGATAATTTTACAGGTTTTTTAAAGTCTCCATGCCTCATTGTATAGTTGTAATTTTTAAAAACACATTTCATATCTTAAAACCAAAGTAAATAAAACCATTGTTTGTGGTTTTAATGTTTTACTTTTGATACCAAAGTGGTGAGTCCCCAAACTAAAAAATAATAGTTAATTTTTTTCTCCTTATTCTCCTGTGTCCTTATTAAAACCTTTTTGCTCTTTAAATTTTTTTAACCAAGTAGATGACTGTTTTCCAAGAGGAGTTACATTGTCCAGTCATAAACTCAGCAGTGTTCATTAAAGGAAGAATAACATTAGGATTGAAAATCTATTTACTGAAAAAGAGATGACGATGACCCAGCCACCAGAGAGCCAGTACTCACCAATCCACATGATGGCGACTAGAATCCAAAATACAGCTGTCAAATCATGTGATCATTATTTACTGACAAAGAGAGCACCAGGCGTTTCTATATCTAAAAGACAAACATGCTCAGTGGATTTTAAAGAAGGAAACCAACCTGTACAGTCAGCACTGAGTAGATATCCTAAAAGACAGATGGTGACGAGGCCCAGGGATTCTGCCATGATCATGCTCAGCTACCATGTAACCTTTGCTGGAAGATTGTGCAAGTGGCAAGGTTGACCAATTGTTCCAAAGTACAAGCTGGGCTGTATTTACTTCTGGTAAATAGCATCCATCTCCCTCAGTGGGTCTTTGGGCTATTGCCATTGGCCCCTTGGGTCAAGTGAAGAGAATGGGCAGTGGCCATCATTCAGCTTCGCCTCTGAGTCCATGCACTTCTGCTACTGTACCTGCATAGAGATTGAAGCAGGAGAGGATACATCTTTAGAATGAGAGCAGGCAGTAGTGGTTACAGTCATTGTGGCAGCAGAATTCATCAATAGGGCCCATTTTATCCTTGTCTAGGAGCACTAATACCATAAAGTTAGAAGGTAAAAAGATGGAAAGAACAGTCATTTGATCACTCACCTTAAAACAGCCCCAGTTCTTATAGACCCTGAGTCACCCGGCAGACCTTTTATGCTTCTCCTCATAATCTGGAGTTTATAAACTTTACTGTACTGCGTACCCCATATGATGAAACATATAGACCCCATCTAAGAAAATATGAATGTATGTGTGTATGTACACATATATGCTTATGTAGTGTATTTTTTAGTAAACGTATCCTCTATAATAGTACATATTACTGTATGATATTATACTACTTCATGTACAGTTGAAGAACCTCACAGTTGTCTACTACCATCTACCTACTATTCTTTGTGCTGTTGTTGTGGTATGTTTTACTTCTACACGTATTATAAACCCTGTAGTGCATGATTATTACTCTTGCTTTAAGTAGTAAACACTCTTTTAACAAAATTTAAAAAGGAAAAACGTTTGGTCACCTATTCACTGTTCTGACTTTGCTCAAATCTTTGTGAAGATCCAAGTTTCAATCTGTTACCACTAAAAAAAAAAAAAAAAA